ATAATCTTCAATGGATAAACTACAATACGTTTTTTAAAAGTGATCTTTATTTCATAAGAGCTAGTGACTGCGTAAAATTAAAACTGTTCCAGTATTGTCTAATTACAATATTCTAAAGTATTTATACATAATTTGCATATAAATTAAATAAAGTATAGCGAAGGAAGTATCTTAACCTGATTAGTTTTTTAAGATATTTGGGTAGTATTCCGTTTGGTTTTGAATCCAGTATCTTTTCAAGTGAAGTTTATCAAATTAGAGGCAATTTCAACAGGAAATATAAAAGGTAGACAGTGCATGCAAAATAGTAACAATCGATTCAAAACCATTGTCTTCCATTGTTTACACACCGATTATGATAAACACTCGATCAACACAGCCTAAGAGAYGGACCATTAGATAGTTGATGGGGGGAGGGGGAGGGGGTTGCGTAAATCCCCCCAAACAATATCGCGCAAGCACTTAAACCTCAAAAAAATATCGTGCAACCTCCTCTGCTAGAAGAAAAATATCTAACTGTACCCCAAAAAATAACGTGCAGGGGTTGAGCCAAAAAAATAAATATCATGCAATCAAAATTCCTGCAGCCCCCACATCAATTATTTAATGGCCCATCCCTAAGACTATGTCTTGGTTTTTTGGCTTTAATCAATAATGAAAATAGACTGTTGGAAGCTTAACCCCGGACGTCTCGAGTGGTCAGTCGTGTAATTATGGAAATAGACCCCTTGCAGCACGTCGGAATGCAGCTCAAATTGGAGGACATAACATTAGGTTTCCGATGCTCCGGATATTGAAATTCTTTTATTTTGTCCTCCAAATAGTCCCCTTCACAGTTCCCTGCGTCATCTTGAAAAATAGCCGTGCTTTTGCATCGAAGCGAGAYGAACGGTGAGCTTGCAATGATAAAAACGTGAATATTTGCCTAAGGTATTAAAAAAGGTCTCTATCAATACAAGCTCACTATTCGTCTCGTTTCGATGCAAAAGCACAGCTACCTTTCAAAATCACGCAGGGAACTGTCAAAGACACTATTAAACTGCTTTGACGTCACATACAGGGGGTCTATAGGTGAACAAGTTTAGTTACAATGCTTCCCTATAGCACGCGCACTTAATAATCGTCGTCGCAACAAAGTAGGTTTTATAGGACGTCAGTCAAGACGTTTCATTACATTTCGTAGAAAACTTTGTTTTGAAAATGTCATTGCAACACTACGATTAACATCCACTAAAAAACTGCTATGAATCTCGTGTTCTGATAGGTTGAGAGCGCGATAATCATAAGAGTATGACGCGCGTGCACTTTCTATGTCGTCATTTGTGTCAACAATAAAAAACACGATACTCTAATTTGTAAGTTAGAAAAGAAATAAAAAACCTGCTTGCTGCGCTGTGTGGAGTTATAAAGCTCTTGGGTATTGTCAGAACACTCGTGAAGTGTCAAGGAATACTCCTTACGAATCGTGCTTCTCCTAACACTGTTCTGCCAAACCCCGCGCGCTTTATGAACTGCACTCAGCACTCGTGCACGTTTTCTATTTCTTCTATCTTGTTCTGACGCCAAATATTAAGATTCCGTGACTGAAAGCACTGTAAGGGCTAAATAGTACTAAGTGTTCCAGGGGATTATCGTCTGTAGTAGATTGAGAGTGCAATGCCTTGTGCTAAACATTAAGTGACCAGAGGTTAATCTAAGAAGGTATTATTATCCGCAATCAAATTTCACCAAAATCAAAAACTGTTATCTTACTAATAGATGCTCTCTGCGTTAAATTGCTCAATGTGCAAGCGGATTCGTTGCGCGAGTTTCGCAACTAACCAACTAGTTCATGACTAGACCATATAGCAATATCTAACTTAAAGCACTGTTGTCCTTACTACGCATGCTCCACGAAATGTCAGAGCGGCTAGGGGAAACTCTAGCTACCTGGTATGTAATGCGCATGCTCGAATTTGAATTATAGCTAGAGYGTGCTTTCTATTTTACTTCCGAAAATAAGCCTTTTTTATTGCTTTACAGCTACACTGCCATTCTATCGACTGAAGGCAATTGTTGTTTTTTTTGCGAGGGCTTTTTTGATTGCTAGGGGCGGGTTTTTATCCAATTAACGCGAGGAATATTTTAACCAATCACAGCTCTTGAAAGGGTTTCTCATAGTCTTTGGCATTTTAATGAGCATGCGCAGTAAGAAAGACAGGACTGTGGAGTGAGAGACTGAGACTAATAATGTCTATAGCAGATAACGTGTTGTTGATTCTATAATATATTAATAAGTGCAGTCTCGTGTATGGATATTCAGCTAACATTAAATAATCACATAAAAACTATTTATAATTTGTACATTATTATCATAATCTATTGTTATGCTTAGGCTTAAAAATTCCTAATATTTGTGTTTTTTCTAAGTAGGTTTATATTTTTGCATGTTAAGGCTCTTATTATTACTGTTTTCATTGCTATGCGCTGATAGGGACAACGCGACAGAGAAATCGATCTGCATTCAATAGACTACAGTCAATCAAATTGTTTGGTACCTTTACATAATCTGATTGATGGATGTCAGTGTGTTGCTCGATTTTCCTGCTTCGCGATAATTAGTTTTTTGAAGAAAAGGTGGGTTCATTTTTTTAATGATATCTCATGTAGATTCCCGGACCTCCCTCCCCCCTTCCCCACCTCCCCCCC